GTAAACATCAATGACAACACAGGAAAAATGAAAGGAAAACTTCAGTTGTTCCCTTTGAATAACACAGTGCTAGTTCTGGGTGGTAACTGAAGGACTGGTGTGAGCCTCGTAGAGGCGCCACAGAACAAAAGGCCTGGCAGTCTTAAAAACCTATGGAGCCGTCCTGCTCGGCAACATACGGTGCTGCCATGAGTTGGAATGGACTCAACGCCACAAGATGACAACAATAAGCTCTCGGTCTGAAGTGGTGTGACCAGCAAGTGAGCCTGTTCCAGGATCTCCCCATGATCCAAGTGCCATGAGCTCTACTGGAATCAGGTGATGCAAACACCAGAGTGGAGACAAAAGAAAAGGTGACAGCCACATTTTAAGATGCTGGCCAAGGGGGCATGGCCTAAGAGGCTGGCTTGGAGAACAATGGTTTCTACCACGTCCTCTGGCAGCTGAGTGGTAAGGATTTATTCTGTCAAGTAAAAGGTGCTCAGTTCAAATCCACCAGCTGCTCTGTGGGAGAAAGGCAGGCAGCCTGCTCCATTGAAGGGTCATCTGTAAGTTGGTTCCACCTCAGTGGTATACAACAACCTTGCATGGGTGATTCTTAACCTATCAGAAGCACCTATGGAACTTGTGAGAACGCAGCATGGCCCCCCTGCTAAGTCTGCACTGGGCCAGGGAGGTCGGGTGGGCAGACATTATGCTTTCATCAAAGCTCCCTGCGTGATTCTCCTGGGTTCCCACACATCTAGCATCCACCTGGCCACTGACAAAGTCAGCGATAATATGTTCCTGCTTCTTTTTGCTCACAATGCTTTATAGTATAAAGATATTTGTGGACTGAGGGTCAGAATCCAGGACTCTGAGACAAGGAGCCTACATTGCCTTAGTGTCTTCCAAGTAAAGTTACAAAGAACACTCTTTATCAAGTCTCAGAGCACCAGGAAACAGGAGTCCCATTGTTGGGATGTTACCTGAAATAATTGTGTCCTTTTCTTCCCTTCTTGCTGGATATCATCTATAGGTAATACTTGAATCTCAAAGTTTCACTTGAATCCCTCCAGTACAGTGGCTACAGGCATGGATAAACAGGGCAGCCCCAGGTCCGGGGGATGACCAATCTCAGCCAAGTTCTAGCCCATGGGCCATAAGCAGCCATGCTAGAAGCATTCAGGGCTCCTTTTTATCTTAAAATACAAAACTGGATTAAAAATTAGAATTGTTGCTAGCTGCTACAGAGTCAGGCCACAACTCATGGCAATTCTGGTGACAAAGTAAAACTAATCCATACGACGTTGTTCTTGGTTGCAATTTTTAAGGAAGCAAACTGCCAGGCTTTTTTCTTCGGCAAAGCCCCAGGCTGGCTCAAAGCACCAGTCTTTCCGTCATAAAAGGATCACAAATCACTTATACCACCCAGGTTCCTTCGGACTTAAGAGAGGAGAAGTTAGCTGTCCATTAAAAGGAAAATTTCACCTTTCAAAGAAGTTTCTGGATATTACCAAGTATGTACTAATATCCCCTCAATCTCTAAGGAGTCCAGGAAGCATTGTAGATTGAGTGTTAGAACCTACCCACTGCTCAGAGAGAGAATAAAGCAATCTCTTGCCATTAAGCGTCAGAAACTCTAAAGGATTGCCATGAGCTTGAAAAGATGATGTAACAGTGGGTTTGGGTTGGTTTTGGGGTGTGTGTGTGTGTGTGTGTGTGTGTGTGTATGTGTGTGTGTGTGAGAATCTCAGTTCAGGCCACACATCTGCCAGTTAGTAGTACTGTGGTAAGGCTTGTATTCTGCCATGAAGCTAAATGCTTTTATATCAGTATTTTATATATCAGGGGATTTGCCTATAGTGGGCAGACTTATCATGGGGCTTCCACACTCAGAGAGACTAGGAAGAAAGGCCTGGCAATCTAAATCTGAAAATTAATCCATGAAAGCCTTATGGATAACAACAGAACACTGTCCAATACAGTCCTAACCATAGGCTCAAAGATGCCACCAATTATTAAGATGGTACAGGACCAGGCAATGTCTCATTATATAATAAGTCTGCCATATACCAGCGTCAACTTGACGGAGTCAACAACTCCAAGGCCTGAGTGACACCCCGAGAACTGTTTTCCTCCCTGGTAGAGCAACAGCAGGGCAGGGAGGGGTAAAGGCACTAAACTGTGGGTCTCTGAGTCAAGGGCAAGCTTGGAGTGTCAGCCCTAATCGGGGATTAATGAGGATCGGATTGAATGTGGGGGAAGCAGAAACTCTTTCAGAGGAGGGAGCCAGAGTCAGGGCACCCACAGTCACAAACACAAGCACCTGCTCATCCACATGGTCATTACTGCTGGGGCATCCGGGGCCCAGGACAAGGGAGGGTGAGTGACAAGTCAGCTGTAGGGAGTGGACTCTCACAGATCTTATCTACCTGTGAAACCCTTCATTTGAGTTAACATCAGCACCACAGCTGTATCTGAAAAGAAAACAACAGCCCCATCCAAGGGCCAGCAGCACAGACCAGGCCATCTCCACAGACAGGAACCCCGCATGCATTCCCGCCACATCCAGGAAAGCGTCTGGAGAAATGGATGTTTCCAAGTCTGCAGCACACAGCCAGGCCTCCAGCAGGTAGAGAACAGAGAAAAGGTAAATCAAATCTCTCTCTCCACTCCCTGACCATTAAACCCTTGTTGTTATTAAATCCTTTTTAGGTAAAATGTTTTCATCTGGAAACTTCAAACATTGTCCTCAGTGTTTTCAGTCCTATTTGACTAAAGGCAAATGCCAGATCAGAGGACTCCTCCCTGCTCTCTCCATACTCCAGGCATACAGCTCATCTGAAAGTATTATTTCCAAGGTGACTGAACCCAATCAAGATCAGTCAATAAATGGGGCAGGATCATCTAAATCAGGATCACACTGAATTTACAGGCTGTGGGGTCACTGTGGAATCCCAGAGTGGTGTCAAGAGGTTAAGAACGCCACTAATGACCAGAAAGGTGACAAAACTAGAGGCCTCTCTAAAGAAGGGCCTGGAAGGTCAGAGCCTTGGAAACCCTGTGGCTCACAACTCTACTCTGACACACACAGGGCTGTCACAAGTGGGAATAAACTTAACAGTAAGTGGGAGCATTTGGCTTAGGGTTCTTTCTGAGCATGAGATGCCCTCAGGAGCCCTCATGTTAGAAGGTGAAAGGATCCCACAGACCATTCTTGCAACAGTCGCTCTCTGGCAACCACTCACACAATCAGCTGGTTGTAGACATGGTGTTAGAATGAGCCCAAACCCAAGTGTGGGATACTGTGTGACTCAGGGTCAGTGACAGCAGCTCCATGAAAAAAACCAGAACTCTGTGCTTGTTCACGTGTGTGAGGACAGGCTTTAAGGCTCCCACAAGAGATGAGGAGATTCCCCTGGGAGGAAATATCTGGCTCAGGACATCCGGAGCACAGATTCTAGGCACCAGGACGGAAGTCAGTCTACTTACTGACCTTGGAGTCCCTTGTCATTCCAAGGAACAGTTGTTTGTTCAAGAGTTCAGAACAAGGGCTTCTGAACCTGTTGACTTTCTAATAACTTATACTTCAAGTGTTGTTGTTGTTTGTCAAAAAAGCTAAGTCATCTAACCTCTCAAAACTGATAGTGGTATATGTGCCTGGACAAAGGCCAGGCAGAGGGCTCACTGGTGGATCTAAACATGCAGCATTCACTATTTCCAAAGCCCACGGCCACAGTTTCCTCCACTGAGGTACACAAGCAGGTGCAGGAGCGTGTGTGACTGAGAGCATAGAGGACCAGCCAAGGCTGGGACGTGCTTCCCCAGGCTCACCAGTTGTTAATGCCTACTATGGAGCACCTAAAAATAGCAGACGCCAGGAACATATTAAAGCAAGAAATCTTAAAAGTAAAAATAAGCCACCAAGTAATTAAGGATGAAAGAAACATAAGCAAAGAAGTGTGAGGCAGGCAAGCCAACGAGTAAACTCCTGTCTTTGAAGTCAATCAGACTTATCCAGACTCAAATCTCAGCTCTGCCACACACAGTCAACAGGCTGTATGACCCTGGGCAGGTTGCTTCACCTTGCCAAGGCCTCTGTTTCCTCACCTAAAAAATGATTCCAATAACTATGCCCTAAGAGCTGTGACGGGAGCTCTGCTGGCCTACTGTCAAGATGCCACATGACAATCCCCAAGGCCACCAGCTGCTCCATGGGAGGATGGGCAATCTCCTCCCTTGTGATTAACTGCATCTGAAAACTCAATGGAGGGTCAGCTCTAGTTCGGTTCTGACTCTACAATACACACAACAAAAGGAGCTGTGGAGACTCAAAAAAAAGGATGTAGATAGACTAGTGGTGTAGTCAGTGGGGAGGTGTGCTGCCAACCCAAAGGCAACACATCTCTGGTGCTGAGAATAGACCAGGGCTCTGAAAGAGTTAGAAGGGCAATCTCCACCTGTGGGATTTACAACCTCTGGACATGGGCTTGGAGGGCCACCCACGAGTCAGGCAGACTCGAAGGCAATGAGACAGCCCCCAATACAGGGGTCACTATTTTTATATGCTGAAAAATGCAAGCTTTTGGAAATACATATTAGTTGGCAATGTTCAGCTTCATAGAGACAGAGGCATATCTGGATCATAGTTACCAGCTGTAAAACTGGTTCAATTTTGGATTGCCAAGATCCACGTGGGACTTAGGAAGTGCAGGTACAGATTTGGACAGGAATGGCCTCTCTGCCAAGTTCCTCCAACAGTGTCTATCCCTCTGGTGAAGCTGGAAGCCTGATCACTCTGATAATTGATTAAAAACTTCGAATTCTCAAGGGTTCTGTTTTCCAAGGCTAACTTTCAGAGATGCTGTCACTGTCCCAGGGAGAGGTTCACTATGGATCTGGTCAAGGGCTGCCGAGCTCGGCTCTAGGGAAGAGCTCTGTCCCTTGGTGACATCTGTCCCTTGGGCCATCCAGCACCTCTCAGACCTCAGAGCACAGCAGTTCTTGCTGAAACTCACCCCTTTCCTTTTGGCCTCGTCATTCAGAGCCGTCATCCAGGCTGCTTGCCACTGGCTCCTCCAGCTGTTCAGCGTCAGGATCCAGGTCAACAGTGTGTCCGTCTCTGGGCGCTGACCCTCGCCAGGCTCCTCTGTCCGCCGCTGCGCCCCGGGTCGCGCCCTAGCCAGCACCCATTGTGCCAGGTATAGGCCCACCGTTCCTAGGGCCGCGACGAAGAGCGACACCAGAACGAACCACTGAACCTCACCGAGCCACGAGCCCAGCCAGGACATGGTGCTGGCGCATACCAGACCGCCTCGCCTCAACTACCCAGTGCCGCCTGGCTCCAGGGCGCAACGCCCCCGGGCGACCAGCTCAGGACATCAAGCCCCCAGGCTGGCGGGCGTGGAGGGCGGGCCGGGGGCGCGGCAGCAGAGCCGGGGGAAGAAGCAGATCTCGGTCCCGGGGCCCCTCGGCGGCGGGACGCGGGCTCGGAGGCCGGGAGGAAATGTCCGGCCTGCGCACAATAGCCACAGCCAGGGATCGCGCCCTTCCAATTACACCTGGAACCTGGGACACAGGAGCCGGCGGCCTCGGCCCGCGCTAGTAGGCGGGCGTCTGGGAAGTTCCAGGGCCGCGTCCCCGGCGTGCTTCCTGCACGGCGAGCAGCCCCCGGCGTCCCGCGAGGAGGTCCGGCCGGGGGCGGGGCGGCGAGACGGGCGGGGGAGGGAAGGGGCAGCGAGGAGGCGGGGCCTTGGCCTGGAGGGGCGGGGCTTATACAGGGGGCAGGGCTTGTGGCGGGGCGGGGCTGCCGGGAGGAGGTCCCCCGGCGCCCCCGCGCGGTGTGCTCTGGTCCGCTCGGTACGCCCCTCCGCCGCCTTAAAGACAGCCGAGGCGCGTGTCTTCCTATAGGCCCGTTCCCGGGGGTCCCTGCCGTGGCGGCAGTGGGTTTACCTGGCTTTGCGCGGCTTCCTCGAGCGCTTACATTCCTCCAGAGTGACGACATGACAGCCGCCATGCGCGGGACTTCCCAATTCATCAAACTGACTTGAGGTTGCTCCTTGGAGATTGGCTTGTTCATGCTCCAGTGTGCGCGTGTGAGTGGGGGTAGGGGTGGTTGTGTGTGTGTGTATAGAGGGAACAGTTAAAGGGTGATTTCTAGGAATGCTGTTTGCGCACCAGACAGTGTCTCCTTTCAGACCCTTGGGAAAATCCCTAGAAGTCCACCACTTGCACCCGAATGCAGGAGGAATCCTGGTATTTATGGGTCTGCCTTTTACCTCCCCTTAAGAGCTGCAGTGTCAACATCCAAAGAGGGTTTGTTTCAGTAAAATGCTACCAGATCTGCCCTTCTACAAGGTTGTGGTGTGCCATCCAGTCAGCTGTGACTCATCACCATGTACAGCAGCTCTGAAGCCTGTCCTGTCCTGAGATAGTCTCACTTATCTGACACACCTAACCCCATTATCCCAGTTACTGTGTCAATCCATCTCACCTGGAGTCTCTCTTTTGCACTGTCCCTCCTCCCTTCCAAGAATGATGTCCTTCTCCAAGGATTGGTCCCTCCTGGCAACATGCCCAAGTATCTCAGACAGAGCTACCAAATCCTTGCCTACAAGGAGCATCTTGATTCAACCCTCTCCAAGACAGACCTGTTTGTTCTCTTGGTAGTCCAAGGTATATGTTCAGTACTCTTGTCCAGCACCACAACTCAAAGACATTGATTTTTCTTCTGTCACCCTTTGTCATTGTCCAGCTCTCTGATGCATAGCAAGTCATTGTGAAGACCATAGGCTGGATTAGGCACACCTTGGTCTCTAGACTGACAACATTACTCTTCAGCACTCTGGAGAGGTCTCTAACAGCAGATTTTTCCCTTTGCAAAGTGCCAAGAGTGTTGTGGAGCCCAGCAAGCTTTAATTGTTAACAATCTCAATCTCTTCTCCATGATAATGATGTTGCCAATTGGTGGCGGTGAAAATCTTTGTCTTTTTGTTTAGCTTCAATCCACATTGAAGATTTCAGTCCTTGACTTTCTGCAGCAAACGCTTTAGGTCCTCATCAATTTTAGCAAGCGTGGTTGTGTCATCTGAATAACACCCATAATGCCACATTCCTCCTCATAGAGCCCAGCCTCCTGAATTATTTGTTCTGCATATAGATTGAAAAGGTATGGAAAAAGGATGCATCCTTGACACATTTCTTTCCTGATTTTAAACCATGGAGTGCCTCCTTGCTCTGTTCTGATGCCTGCTTCCTGGTCCAAGTATAGGTTTCACATGAGCAGAATCAGATATTCTGGGATGCCCATTCTTCTCACTGTTAGCCACAATTTATTGTGATCCACACAATCAAATGTCTGCAGAATCAATGAAATACAGATAGACATCAGCCTCAACAAGGGTAGATGTGTTCTTTATTGTGTGTGGAGATACACATACACACTCCATCCTTTCCTGTGCAGGGCTAGCTCCTATCCATAGGAAATACCAAGGAAACCCTAAAACCCTAGAGTCTTCAAGGTCATCTCCATGCTTGGCCTAAGCCATAAAGTAGTGATTGACATGTATATTAAAAAAACTTTCATAGAATTAATCTTAAGGGCCCTGGAGGCAAAAGTGCTTAAATATTTAAGTTGCAAACAAACCAAAAGGCCAAGAACCCAAGAGCCATTCTAGGAGAGAAAGAGGGAAAGCCCACTTCTGTAAGGATGTATGGCCTTGGAAACCCAGTGAGCAATCCTGATCTGCCCTTCAAGAATCAGAATTGACTTATTGGCAGTTGGTTGCTAGTGGGCAGACCCAGCCTATCCCTTGTCTTCTCAGGGCTGCTGAGCTGTGTGGTTTAGCAATGTTAGTGAAGCTCTAGCTTCTCCCTAGAAGCTGAGGAGTCCAGGAAGCTCCTCCTACACCCTCTCCCAGTAAGCACTGGGTAGAAACAACTTTGTAGATCTCCTTAAAACTCCCCCAGAGGGAGTTTCCTCAATGAGAAGGTTTGTTTAACAGAGTGTTCCTTAGACGCAAGAATGGCAAAGCTTCATCTCATGTACTTTGGGCATGTTGTTAGAGGGGACCATTCCTTGGAAAAGGACGTCATGCTTGGAAGGATGGAGGGTCAGTGAAGGAGAGGAAGACTCTCAACCAGATGGATTGAAATAATGACTGCAGTAATTGGCTCAAGTATGTCAGGAATGATGGGGATGGCATAGGATAAGACAGGGTTCAGATCTGTTGTTCATAGGGTTGCTATGAAACATACTCAACTCCACAGCACCTAACATCAACAGCAACAGATTCTGAGCTACATCTGGTGGCATTTATTGATCATTTAATGTCTAAATACCTTGGGACAGGAAGTGCAAAGAGTACGTGTCCTGGAATCTGAGAGGGCAGGTACCAGGCTGGGAAAGGGGAGATCAATGTAATGGCATATGAAACAATGTGGGGGCAATGTCCCCATCAGTGCCACTGAGGCAGGGGATCCACCACAAAGGTGAGGTGCTAGTGTGGGGGTGGTTAAGAGGTCAGGAAAGGTGACCTGCCTAGTCAAGTTATGGGCAGGTACATCCCTCCCCCCCCCCCAACAATTTAAATCACAAAGATCCCTGCTGGCAGCATGTGAGGGAGGCAGAAGGGTGCAGAAAGGCCAGCTGGAAGGTGATTCCAGAGGTCACGAGAAGGATTTGAACTGAGCTTTCTGTGGGGCAAAGGGAGAGAAAGCATGAGAAAGGAGACCTGGGGACAGTGCCATACAGCTGAGGGTGTATCTTGTTAAGATCTTGGAGAGATGATATGAGGATGAGAGCAGTCTGAGCTGAGCTTGAGGGAGAGGAAAAGGGAATGGCAAGAGGTCAAAGGTGCTTAAACCTAAATGATCTGCTTTCGTTTGAGAAGAAGGCAGTGGAAGAGAGCTGAACCAGGATTCCTTGCAGAGGAGGAAAGAGGAAGCAACCAGGAAGTAAAAAACTGAGTCATCTGAGGGAAGCTGAGGTGATCACCCTGACCAGAGAGGTCTAATATCAGGCGGAAACACGTGAAGGACTTCAACTACTTTTTGAAAGTTATCCATTAATTTATACACTACTTTAGTAGTTTGTACTCAACTTCTCTGATGGCCTAGTGGTAGGGAAGTTGGGTTGCCAACCCAAAGGCACAAAGTTTGAATCCATGAGCTACTCAACATGAAGAAAATGGGCAGTCTCTTCCTGTGTGATGTACAACCGCTGAAAACTCACTGGAGGGTCACCTATGAGTTGATTCTGACTCGATGGTACTCACCAACTCACCTCAAGGTGGTCAGTTTGAAACAAGCCAGCAGAGTCTTGGAAGAGAGGACTTGGGAGCTGCTCCCACTAAGATTACAGCCAAGAAATCCCTGTGGAGCCATCCACTCATAAACAGGTGGGGCCGTGATGTGCCGGAACAAACTGGACAGCAAGGAGCGTTTCGATTGGAATTTTACAAATTTATTCAACAAGAGTTCTCTAACCAGCCCATAAACGTCTCACGATTGGTTGAGGCGACTCCTCTTCTCTTTTATAATTGTGTTACTTTAAGCAGAAACAATGGAAACCCTTTCTTACCTATTTGGAGGAAGAATCTAATTATGTCCTGGGCTGGAGCCAGAGCTGTGCAATTGGAAAATGCAGGTCCCCTCACAGGAAGAACCAGGATAACTAGTTACTGTTGACGGCTTCACATCTCACTGTTTTGGCATGAGTGTGGGTGGACACGTGTGCACTCGCCCTCGGTGATGTTGCAGATGGTGACATAGCCATATTGTGAGGCCAGTGGAACCTGTCTCCCTCATTCACAGACAGGCTAGAGTTATGTGCACTGTTCTGTTTATTTGGAGGTTGTCACAGACAGTAAACCAAAGACCATTCCAGGCCTGGAATTAGTCACACGTCTCTGAGTTTTTACAACAGGAATGTAAACATACAGATATTGAATTACTCTGTGCAGAAGCAAATAGAAGGAAAATAAAGGATGAGGTAAGCCTAAGAGGGAAATGCAGTGGCTAAAGCCTGGAACTGTCTAGTAAATCTATGAGAAGCAGCAAAAGCCCTGTGTTTCTGCTCCCAGCCCTGCCCTTTAGTCCAAGACGTCAAGGAGGCTGCCCAGCCAGGTCTTTGGGCAGTATTTTCTTCCCTCAGGGCCACATTCCCTACACTCATTACTTCCACACTCTCCTCTGACTAATCCCAGGAGCCAGCCTGATACTCAGTCCCAGAAGATTCTATTTGGCCTAGCAAACCCTCACCTGAGGTCTCTGTCACCTCTCCAATGACTAT